CTCTCTGCGAAGCCTTTCATATTTTCGCCGGTGTTCCTCAACTTTTTGTGCATTGGACCAAACCTTTTACAAGATTCAAACCACAATAACCAATTGTTTAGGAAAAAGGGGAGAAAATTCTATTTTCTAATAGTTCTTTCAGACCTTGAGCAACAATTCTTTAGTCTTAGTTATATTGTCACACTTCCATAAATTTAACTGTGGAAGGAAAAAATGCACACAAGGGCATTACAGTGCGTTATAGAGCACAAATATGTAAAGGTCAACCTTGTCAAGTATCACAATGATTTCGTTGTCATAGTCCAGCTTCGATGCCCTGTGAAGATCCTTCACAGCCTCTTCCCACTGGCCAAGCATTGCTTGTGCTATGCCACGAGATTTGTACCCTTTAGCAGATTTTGGATTGATCTGTGAATAACATTCTTATATATGTGAGGTACTATAAAAGAATTGTCAAACTGATGCATTCCAACTGTATATTTAACACCAAAATCATCCATAACAAAATGAAACTGAGAATTCAGAAAATTTCTGTTCATTGAGTAGCTTTCAATGTTAAACCTCGGACACCTTACATCATTACATGAAGGGAATGCTGTCGAATGGGACACACAAGCAGTGTAGCTAGCATGTCACAAGCAACTTAGTGTATAGTTGATGCTATAATTTAATGTTTTTGTTATGCGAGTCTAGAGAATAAAATGGAGTGTCTGAAACAAAAATGCATGAAAATGCTAACTGCTAATCCTTAAACGTTCTGATTTCAATTAAATGAAAAGGAAATAGTGCATTTAATAGAAAGAAAATAAAAAATATTGGTGACCTTCAGAGCTGCAATTGCATCTCGAGTGGCAGCATTTGGTTTCTTCATCTTGATATATACACTAGCTGCAGGTCAACAATCCATCAAATAACCATTTAAACTGCAAAATAAGAGAGATCCAAATATAACTGAAACTTCTCTGTTAGTAACGGTTAAAAAAAGTTTGAGATTCACCTCTAGTTTCATATATGATGGCTGATTTAGGGTTAAGCAGAATTGCCATAGTGAGATGCTCAACCGCTTCTTCAAGCTTTTCTGAACAACAAAATCCATGTTCATACTAACGTATAAAGAGCGTAATCAGCTTACATATTACCTTCATATATTGCTTTCATAGCCTGATTCTCTGCCTCTTGAGAAGCATTCCTGTTTTCTTCAGTAACCTCGATGGAGGAATCTCCCATCTACAAAATTTATTTTCTGAAAATTCACCCTCTTTGGATATAACAACCGAAATGCAAGTCAAAGAAAAAAAGTAAATGTAAATTTCTTAAACCTTTTGTGGAGGATCATTATCAGGCTCCACGACATAGCTCTCATCAAGTTCAATGTCAGACTCTACAATCTCTGGCTCTTCTTCTTCTACATTGCATGAGCCAGTCGCATCCTCTGTCTCATCCCCATAGTCACAAGTATCAACCGCCCAAGAGTTCTGTGTTCCCTATCATAACATACAAACTAAAACTCACATATTCCAGGACAGAAGAAGATATGGAATTAGTGAAAATTTGCATTTAAACACCTCTAACCATGAACCCCTATGCTCTATACCTATAACCATATTAGTTTCTTGCCTTCTCCAGATAATGGCATGTCATCATGTACAAAACAGTTCCATG